TATTCCCTTTTTTAAACACACAAGCTAGCAAATTTTGGCCACTTTTTTTGTATGGGAAGGTACTGTTCAGCTAATTTTCCAAGAAAATTTTCCATTGACATCCAGAATTTCTCCTCCTTATCCTAAAATTATGACCCACATTCTTGACTGTTAGATGGGTAGTTTTGCAGTAAACTGTAGTCAAATGGCACTAGTAGTTTCTGGGCCTTTCCTTATGATATTCCATTTACTTCTTGTCAGTGATCCTTCAGTTTTTCTGATCTACTTCATGCAGGCTTATTCAGAAAGCAGTCTGTGTTTTATTCTTGCTTATTGACAAGAACAGAACGGGATGAAGACCCAGTCTCTTTGGGGAGATAATTGCATTGCCTGATGAAGATTTGCCATTTACAGTCATATTCAATATGGATTTTTTATCCAGTTTTAAAATATTTTCCTTATTTTAATTTGATACTGTATTGTTGCAGTTCCTTAATCAAAATGCCACGTGGTGCAACATTAAATGCCTTACAGAAGCACATTGCATAGCTTCATTTCCTTCAGCAAACACATTTTAAATTAATCAAAAAAGGATTAGCTTGGAAAGATCTATTTTTCTTTAAAGCCATACTAATTGACATTAATCAAATGACCCTCTAACTCATTATTTATTGAGTGTCATATCAGCCATTCCAATATTACACCTGGAATCCGTGTCAGGTTAAGGGCTGTAATTACTCCAGTTGTTCATTTAATCCCCTCTGAATATTGGCAGAACAACTCTTCTATTAAGCACTTCTGCCTTTTCTGAATTGCTATTGACAGTTCTGTAGCTGTTATTCATACCTGTGTTAGCTTTTGCCTCGAGATAGCCCTGTTGGAGTCTCGGTGTTTCTGTATAAGAATTTCTGAATCATCACCTTTCTTTTTTCTTCCATTTTGTTGCTGTCTTTTGAAAAGCATTTTGAATTATTTCTTGGTCGACAGGCAGGGGCCCTTAGCGTATTACTGATGAAATTCCCCATAGGGATGATGCAGATGGGCTGTGAGAACAGTAGAGGAAACAGGGAAATCCTTTTTAGCTAGGGTTCTATGTGTAAGAAATGTACTTATTGCAAAAAAGGGGAATGGCATGGGCTGGACAGAAGGGCTGAGGACCAGAATCTAGTAGTCAGAGTGAAATTAGTCCCTATCCAGGATGTGCAGAGCATAATTTCAAACCAGTCTGAATGCTTTCATACCTTTTAGTTCTGGATCTTCCAACAGAGCTAAACTCACACCCTTTAAGGGAGCACTCCCTCCTAGTAAATGAGTGTACTATGTGCTCTCGGGATTAGGACATACGGGGAGTGTCAAGGGAATCCTTAACACCCATAGCATCCCATATCTGCATCCTCTAGTATATCTGCTAGTAGCAGACAAAAATACTTTCCAATGGGCTGCACTGGACACTAGTGTGCATATTTCAATATTTTAATTCAGCCCTCTTAAACTGCTAGAAATAAAGTATCTTTCTAAAAGTGTCTTTTTATCTTTTATTTATCTTTTACTTTTTTAAAGTATCTTTTCCCAGTTTTAGCAGCAGAACCTCCATGCAAAAAGGTCTGGTGCCCCACGGCCGAGTACACACAAAGCCGCCTAATCCAGCTAACGCAGCTCCGGGAAATTGCAGAACGGGCTGAAACAAAAGGACACAGCTCAGCACGCAACGCACATAATCTCTCAGACAGAGTGTAAAGCCATGTAAAGACACTTGCGAACTCAAATAAGTCTCCATGGGCACAACGACACATCATGTGGGGAGAAAGGAAGCATTCGGTGGACAAAGACATCCCTGAGGAAATAGCTCTAATGAAATCAGAGTGGTATTAAAGATTTGCCTCATTGTGGTGCTGTAGCATTGTTATTCATTTCAGCAGCGAGAAACAGCAGCCGAATGCATTAGTCTTGAAGCACTGCAATTCACTCAAGGACATTGTTTGCTGTAGCCTTTCAGGTTTCTGCCTAGTGCAGGCTTGGCCTATTTCCCTCGCCTTTCATACACTGCACAATCCATTTAGGGATTTATAGCGGCTTAGAGGCACATGTACAGTGCCTTGCCTCTATCTGATTTTTATTCTGTGATAAGAAGGTTTGAGGTCATGGGTTCATTGGCACATCTCTCCTCCCTGCCATTCATGTTTCATGGAAATCTAATTATTCATTAGTGTTTATGATTTCTCGAGGTTCACTAATGTCCTCATCACTACCTGGAGAAGTCCCAGCGTTTTCCACGAAGAACATGTGAACCTGCTCTGATGTGATGTTATAAGTGAGGGGTGCAAGAGAGACCAGAGGCAGGGCCATAAAGACAAATGTGATAATGAAGCACAAAAGCTATTTGCGGTGAAATCCCTGGCCAATACAAAGTGGCATGATTGCCATCCTGGAGCACACTTATGCCAGCTTGTACATTGATCTTTAACACTGAAAAGTAAAACCTTCCTGTTCGGACATTCCCGCCTGCCCCACTCTTGCCAGCAGCTCCTGGTCTCTGCTCCCCACAAACAGTGTATTTGCCTCTTGTGCCTGCAGAGGAAATATCTTCTTTCCCTTTCTGCATGGGCTTCTTTAGTTTTAATCACCTCAGTGTAAATACATGTATTCACACTTCTCTCACCCTCTCAACCTCCTGCAGAGTTTGATTTCAAGTTGTGCAAAGAGCAGGGCTGCCAGTGCTGTGAATGGCCACCAGCTCTGCTGACACCATCATAGTGGAACTCAGTGGATATGCCACTTATCCCCAGGTTGTTCAAATTCTGTTCATCATCTATCCTAATATCACCCTCAGAGATGGTCCTATATCCAATAAACATGAGCTGACATATTTCACCTTACGCAGAGCAAGCATGTATCTCCTGTGAACGTCCCATAGGATGCAAGTACACTTGTTAAAAAGGGACGCAAGTAATGGATTCAGAAACCCCACTAACTTCATATTAAGCCTGATTTTTTAAGTCTCTGATAATACCCATGACTGAAGGCACTAAAGAAGTAAAAACTATACTGTGACATTGTGCCTTGGAGACATGGAGTGCTGTTTCTGAAAGAAACAGCTGCACAGGGGAAATAACTTTCTAGAAGTCAAACAGCATCCTATCAATTACACAGGTACCCTTGTGCTCCTCCAGCTACTGCAAACGTAAATCACAATATAGATACAGCTTTTAGATAAAGGCAGACACCTGTTAGGAAGAGGTTAGAAAATGTAAATGCTATGGGCTCTTTTATGCGTGGCTGCTGCAGTCTGATTATAGCTCCAGGGGTATTTACACGGCATATACTGTGTATTACTGCACTGTTTGAAGGTTTGGGTAATTAATTAAACAAGAGAAGGCCTGGTTCATGATTTGACTGGAGTTATCATTGTGGCAGATACTTACACTGCATTGTGCCTTGCCCTCTTGGGCACTGAAAGGACTCCTGGTTTCCTGTGGTGGCTGGTGGTTTGTGTGACTGTTGTCCAGACTGGATTTCTGCTCCTGACAAGGTCATCATCTCAGTTCTCAGTACACAGCTGACTTAAGGGCAAAAAAAAGTCTCAATTTTTTCTTCTGGCTATGCTCTCATCAACTTCTTTGAACAGCAACAGCAATTAATCATTGCAACAAACTGCTGGTTTGTTGGGCTATTTGATGGGCAATCACCCATCTCTTGAAGCCTGCGTGACTTTGTGTAGGAAATATTTTAGCCCAGCAAATCATTAAATTGAATCTTGGTTGATGGAATGAAATTTCAGTGGCTTTCGATGTGCTGTTCCTGAGGATCCTGGAGCAGTGTAAATGCCCAAGTCAATAAGGCCACGGCAGCTTAGGCCAGGTAGAGATCTGCTCCCCAGGGTTTTTAGAAAGGGCTTTCATGAAAAGAGACGGGTGACTTGACAAACTGCTCTAAAATAGAAACCCATGGGTACCAGGCAGAGGAAGAAGAGCCTTGTCAGCAAAGGGATGGGACAAGGCTGGTGGTGTCTGCAGAGCACGGGGCAACGTCTCCATGATAAGGCACAAGTGGGACCAGAGCTGTAAGGCCTTGGGGAGAGGCACAGAGGAGAAGGAGAGTAAACACGGAGCTGTGGGTTATACAGGGAGGTGGTGAGCTCCAAAGAGATGGGCAATGTGGCTGGCTCGACCACGTATTTCTGCCCATGCTGTTTTATTTTCTTTAGCACCAATGAGGATTTTGTCAGCCACAGGAGACCCAGCACATCAGCCCCCCGAGCTCTCCTGCAGCTCTGGCATTTGCTGCTCTGCTTCGGCAGGATCCCTCCAAACAGCCCTGTGCAGAAAGGAGAGCTATCTCCCCCATGCTGTCCTCCCCCTCTTCCTCTGCACACCTGGATACTTTCCAGAGACCCTGCTCAGCAGAGCAGTGAGGTACGTGACACAAGTCCTGAAAGCACCGACCACTCCAGCCACAGTACCACTGTATATTAAAGTAATATAGAAGAACACACAGGATCAAAATACTGTTTGTAGAGCTAAATGGAAATGAGTTTTTGCTGGAAACTGATGCGTGTTTATCAACACTTTTCAATCTATTGCAATGCCTGTAACAAACATCACTGCTACACAGGTAAGTTTGGTGATTAAAGGACAACTAATGACACCTGCCTGACCAACTGCACTACTTTGGTTAGCCAGGCAGAAATATATATATGCCATATCCCACAGGTACTTGAAAAGGTTCAATTTAAACACATTAATAAAATAGCCTGTTTGGACAAAAAATAATTTTTCTCTGAGAATACGTGAATTCAACACTGCTAGAAAATCCCTGCCATCTGACGTAGAAGGATTTATAGGTTTAGTGGAAATTGCTTTCCCCACTGTCCAGATTAAATACTGCAGGATGATTTTTTGTATGAGTAAACATCCTTCCAATAACGATCAGACTGATAATGTCTTAAAAAGAGGAACAGGATCTACATTTTGGTTTTCTTCTTCTTGTATGGACTATTTCTGGATACAGAACCTTCAGGTAACATGTTGACTGTCCATAAAATGCATTTTAGCATCTTCCTCCTGTTGTGGGGATGGGTTTTATCCACTGAATGCAGAGCCCACCGACAAGGAAAAGAAATACATGAGGTATACAAAAAAGGCAGGTGAGTCTCATTTTTTTTTTACATTCAAATAGCTACAGTTTGGACAAATGTAATGTTTCAGGTGAAGATATAATGACTAACAGATAATTAGTTTGCATTTGCAGATTGTGATCTCTCAGTTAAAAATATTTTCTGTTGCTGTTTTTGCCAATGAGTAAGTTTTAATGCATTTTCTCAGTGAAAATCATTGCTCCCCCCAAAAAAATAGGTTTGTGAGGTATCTCAAAGTTTGAAAGGGTGCAAAACCAGAAGCATTTGCTTATATTTATTGTGGTTAAAATGTGGCAGAGTATTTACATGAAAGTGGAGAGGAAATTTTGGTCCTTGAGGATTGTTGCATTCACTGAAGATTAGATTGACTTGAGATCTCAAATGAAAACATTCAGAATTTATTTTATTATTCCCATACAATCTGTTTTATAGAGCTTTTGAGAGCAAAAAATTAAAGTCTCTCTGCAAACTTCAAGGCTATGGTCAGTTATCAGAGGAAACAGAAAGAGCATTCAGTGTATTGAATTAAGATATTTAAAATTATTTAAAATATTGTCTATTCTTCTCTTTCTCTCTCTCTCTCTCTCTCTTACAAAAAGACTATGTGGCATTTTTCTCCCACTATCTTGTAGACAGCCATTTTAGGAGGTTTTGAGTTGAGGAAGGTGTTTTGCTACAACTGAGTTCTGATTACTTATATTCTATTTGGGGAATATTTGGAACTTCGTATGAGGATTTTTATGCTCAGGCACATAACAAGGTACATCTGGAGGAAAAATCCTTTGGGTGTTTTTTGGAGAATATAGCTGACACATTTAGTTTTCTGTTCAAATGTTGTGTACTTCTGCTTGCAACAGACTGAACCTATGTCGTTTCTGCTTTGCTGTAGTCACTGTTTCTGTTCTGTAATGACTCCATATCACCATCGATACCATAAAGTGTATGGAGATGGAAACGCAGGAATATCACAGTCCTGAGGAATTCAAATCACTCCTGTTAGCCTCCAAGAAAAATGACTGAAAGGTGAAAGGGATGGAAAGTGCAGTGCCTTTTTGTTTTCCTGTAGCCCCTTGTAGCAAGGCAGGGCTACATTACAGAGTGACTGCGGTGTCCCGGTTGGCACTTGGGGGTCCATGAGCCATTTTATACATCGGAAATGGCTTTAGCAGTGACGACACCTTCGTGGAGGTATAACTGGCAAAATGGATGCAGTGGATCTGTTCATGATCAGCCCCCAGGGGTTGCGTTACCAGAGGCAGTATGGATGCAAGACAGCCACGAAACCTCTATTTTCGTTGAGGCTTCATGACAGTGGCAGCGGAGGTGATATGCTGGCTGTAGCAAAATAAAGGGCTGAGAAGCAAGATACCACCATTTGAGCTGAAAAGCGTCCAGCAGAGAGGAATGCATACACACAGCCATGTTCTTGTTTAGCATCTTTAACGAAAACTCTCACTGCACTGAATGCTTAACAGTGTCAGTGCAATTAAGTGACGATATAACAAATCACAGCAGCAGAGTGCTAAAAATATGTGAAAATGGAAAAGAAATACCTATTCAATTAATGTAGGAACTGCCTCTTCACCTGTGCTTTGTATATACGGTGTAATTGTGCCAGGACAAGCCCATCATAAAGCCCCAAGGTGTCATGGCTCTGAGAAGCTGGGTCCACCGCCCTCCCAGTGTGCCCACGCTGGCCTGGGAGGTCATTTCTGGCCTGTTTCTGCCACAGTAGGGCAGTACTGACAATGAGGAGGGCTGATGGTGAGAGAGGAGCAACACTGGAGCATGGCCATAGGGTTGTCCATCAGCAGCGTTATGCCCAGTACAGCACTCACGTTCTCCTGTGATGAGATAGGCCACAAGAGACCAATGGTTTTAACAGCCTTATAATTTGTAAGGTAAAAAAGGATGATTACGGTCATCCGTCTGATTTCCTGCTAAGCACAAACAACAAAGCCTTCTGTATGAATTGTATGCCGAACCCCTAATTTATGACAATTACCTTCAGTGACAAATTGTCCTGGTTTTGGCAGGGATAGAGTTAATTTCCTTCCTAGTAGCTGGTACAGTGCTGTGGTTTGGATTTAGGATGAGAACAAAGTTGATAACACACCCATGTTTTAGTTGTTGCTAGGTAGTGCTTACACTAGTCAAGGACTTTTCAGCTTCCCGTGCTCTACCGACTGAGAAGGCTGGAGGGGCACAAGAAGCTGGGAGGGGGCGCAGCCAGGACAGCTGACCCAAACTGGCCAAAGGGACATTCCATACCATATGACGTCATGCTCAGCATATAAAGCTGGGGGAAGAAGAAGGAAGGGGGGGGACGTTCGGAGTGATGGCGTTTGTCTTCCCAAGTCACCATTACGCGTGATGGAGCCCTGCTTTCCTGGAGATGGCTGAACACCTGCCTGCCGATGGGAAGGAGTGAAGGAATTCCTTGTTTTGCTTTGCTTGCGTGCGCAGCTTTTGCTTTACTTATTAAACTGTTTTCATCTCAACTCACGAGTTTTCTCACTTTTAGCCTTCCGATTCTTTCCCCCATCCTACTGAGGGTGAGTGTCCCTTCACTGCTTTTGCAGGGTCGACATCAGGACTTGGTGCAGTATTTGTACAGTCCTCATGTAGGTGCTGGACACAGAGTTGCTCCTGTTGACCTCCTGGGATTGTGGTTGTGGTCTCCATTGCAGTCCCGCAGTGGGAGATCATGTTTGCCCAACGTGACTGGGCATCTGTGTATGGCAGGACACCTCGTCTTAGAGGTACAGCCAGTCCTCTTTGCGCTCACATGTAGTTCCCTATACATTAAGGTGCTGATCATATGAGACAGCTTTGAAGTAGGCACTGTTCATTTGCATTTCAGTCAAAGTCAAGGCCTTTCTCCATCACAGAATTAGATCCTGGAAGAAAAACAGAGCAAGGGGGGATACTATATAAGATCAAAAAAGCTTGCAGTGAAGATTGCTCCTGAACATTTTGTTATTGACTCTGTTTCCCCTCCCTTCAAGACTCAGTCCTGAATATCCATTATGCAGAAGAAGTTATAGCAATTGACTTTGTTACTCCTCTCCAAGCACTGTTATCTCTTGCTCCATAAGGCTTATGGTAAGGACCAGGGTGGAAATCCGTCCCTTCACTGCAGCGTTTGTCTTCTGAAGAGACCCACATGCCTCACTGGAGGCTGATGGGGGAAATCTATTTGAAGTGGAAAAGGCTGGCTCCACACCACCACAGGATGCTCAGGGTGGCTTAATTTGCACCCATGGCCTCCCTAGCCTCCAGAAGCCCTTTAGGGGCACAAGACCATCCGCTTTCCCTACTGCCAGGGCTCAGCGCCAGCCACCAGTCTTGGCAGGCAGCACAGGCACCTGCTGTAGAGACCTGCCACCTTGGGTGTGCTGCCAGCATCCTGCTGTCCCTGACAGACGTGTCCAGCTTTGCTCCTGATTCTCATGGTGCAGCTGATGGAAGAAATACACAAGCTTTTAGCTTGTTTCTTAGGATGGTGCAGTTCTGCAAGTGTTTCTTCCAAGGAGACTCACTTGCTCTGAACTCTGCTTTCAAACAAAAACTCACCATTTGCTCTGCATTTTTCAGCCCCAGGGCTTGTCCTTTCACCTGCTCATATCCGGTTGATCCCACAGCCTTTGCACTCCTGCTGATATGGTGAATGGGGGGCCACAGAGTTAGACACATTCTCTGTCACTATTTTTGGCACTGCAGGTAGCCCAAGGTAGCCATTCTATCATGAGACAGAACAGTCTTGAACCTTCTTGAAGAAGGTGAGCAGACAGGCATGGTTACCTTGAAGAAGGTGAGCAGACAGGCATGGTTTTCCCCACAAGAATTCATGCATGCAGCATGGTGCTTTGGGGACTGGGTTTGCATGACAGGAATTTTGCAAAAGGTCCCAAATTATCCCTGAAATAAAGTTGATGAGGCTTTGGGACACAGTGCAGAGTGTGACAAGAAAATGGCAAATAAGTGTAGGTCAAAGTATGCATATAGTCACAATGAAAACAGCAAAGTAGATAGCTTTATTGCATGCGACTTATTACAGAGCCCTCCAATATTGTAATTCACTGTAAAAATGTCTGTGTGCCAATCAAAGACTCAACTACTTATTTTTGCTAATCTCCAGGACAAATCACCTCAAAGGAATTTCACTTGAAAGAGCCGCACTATAAAAATAAAACCTTTCTCACCTTGCAGACCTGTTCGCAGTTTGCAGTCAGCCGTGTGCAAATCCTGCAGGGTTTGCAAGGCTTTTTAATCCTACTAAATCCACAGTGCCAAAACTCTTACAGGAAGGAGCTGAGATCCGGAGCACCGGCAAGAGGGCTGTCTGCTGCTTTCCCAACTGCTCAGGCTCTTGGAAAGCCACCAGGCTGCACGGGGGTCACTAGAAGGGTACAAAGGGTCACTAAAGGTCACAACACCATTATGCCAACAAAAGGGCCAAAGCCTGTGTTGCTAATTAGACTTGCAGAATCTGCTAGAGAGGATGAGCAATAGGAAAAGAACTGGCCTGGAGCTGAGCCCAGGTTGTTCTGCCGGAGCTAACTGCTGGGAAAAAAGATCTCTTTTAACACTAAAATCTCCCTGGACCACATTATAACCACCTTTCAGACAAACAACTGTGAGCAGAAGAGATTTCTCTGTACAAGATTTACGGATCATGTTTGTTTAATCTTAGCTAAGAGACCCTCTTTGTGTTTTTAGTGATGTCCCTACTATTCCCTGGCCGTGTTATAATAATTTTGCCTCACTCTGGTCTCCAAATAGCAACTCATTTTCTGCCTCTCTGGAGCTCCCTGTCCATGTTTCTGACAGTAAGAGCTATCTTTTACAGCAGTTGAATGACATCCTCTACAATAAGCCCTGCGCTTGTTATCACAAGGTCTCTTTCATGGCCAAAGATCTTTCTCTTTACGACATTGTCAGATGTTATTACAATTAGTGACACTCTTCTTAAGTGATGGGAGCCACCCTGCATCATTATGGCTACG